TTCTGATTCCCCACCCAGCTTCTCAGCCTCTGATCTCCCTCGGCAAGTTTGATAGAAGAGCCCAAGGATCCAGAAGTCTTGAAATCGAGGTGGTTCTGCTGGACCGTATCCTCATACCAGGGCTCATGGTTCAGAAGGCAGCCCTTGCCTCCCAGAGATGGAGTCAGGAAAAGTGCATTGCTGGGGTCCCAGCCCCCATCTCTGCAAGCAGAAAACACAGCCACTGTGCGCGTGTGGGCGTCTGAAGGCACCAGGACACCTGGGGCATACATTCCTGCTTCCACTTTGCACCGAAGAGCTCTGCAGGCAGGTCCATCTCTGCTCCTTGAGTCTCTGACTCCCTGGCAGGGAGGAACTGGGCATTGTTGCCAAAAATAAACGTTCACTCTCCCGCTCCCTGGCTCCCGGCTCCCGCTCATTAGGATGCGTGGCGTTTGGCTGCGGTCCCACACCTTGCAGCTCATTATAAATATGCAGTCGCTGCTGGCGCTACCCCAATCATCTCTGCAATCAGAGCTTTTAATTAGGTTAATTAAATTGTATCAAATCTCGCAGGGACGCAGTTCACTGATGCTGATGAGGCAGCCAAAACAGACCCCAGCTCCCCCGCTAATGAAGGCCGCTGCCTGCCTGCGCAGTGAGGGAGCCCGAGCGCATAATGAACCGGCGCGCCCTCTGGGAGGAGCTGCTGCCCAGGACCTGAGCTCCGGGGACCTGGCAGGGGTTCTGCCTCCAGCCGACCAGGCTCCAGCTGCGGCAGAGACTCCCACTCCGGGACCATCCTCTTCACTGCAGAACTAACCCGGGGTAGCTTCAGGAGCCCAGGCAGGTGGGCAATGTCGGGGTCCTGAGCACCTGCCACCCCTACACAGCAAACATAGGTGTGCCCCCAAGGTCCACGACTCTGTCTGGGGTTCCCTCTTTCCCTCACCCCCAGAATGGCCCAGAAAGTCCAGGACTCCATCCCATACACACACACACACACACACACACAGACACACACATCCTGCCACTGCCCCTCTGGATT